TTCCATAAAGCAGCTAAATAGAGTCTGACTGTCCAGAAGGAGCTACAGAACCTCAAAACATTCATTCAACTGGTCAGACAGTGCGTTAAAGCATTTTCACAAGTTGCTGTGGAAAAAAAGCAAAGTGCAATAGTGTACAAGGGATAAAATCTTTTGAATCCAGAAATAAGCAACGCAAGTGCCAGAAGACACACCTAACATACTAGGGAAGCAATTTGTATTTCATCCCTTAGCTGCAAACACAGGCGAAGTCGATCGGGCAAATGCCGAATTATCGAAAAAAAACCTCCAAAAGAATGAGTAAAAATGAAGTAAAAGCTGCATTTTGAAACAAAAGCAAGGCTTAAGTAGCTACTTGAGAATCATGCAAAACACTGCACCACCACAAGTGCTTAAATCTAAAAGACTATTATAAGCGGTACAAAAAAAAAAGATGAAAAGGTACATGGGGTAGAGGGGAATGCTGCTGAAGCAGTCTCGTTTCATTGATACGCTCACGAGCCGTCGCATACAGGGCGCTTGGCCGCCCAGATTTTCTCATATCCGAAAAAGAAGCCTAAAAAATCATGTATATCTGTTTAGTAATTCACCAATTAATGAAATCCGAAGCAGAAGCAAGAAAAGTTGTCACTTCATGTTGCTGGAGCGGCAAATCAAAGGATTATTAGCGGATCCTGGGCGAATTATTAGGACCGATCGGCCAATAGCGAGATTGATACAACGGGGAAAGGGGGGGGGGTCATCCCACTGTGGCTTTATTTAAACCCCAAGTGTACATACCGGTAGAAAAACAGGGCCAAATTAGCGTTAAAAATTTACTTTTAAATTACCTAACATATCCCCAATTACATAGCGAAATGGGGCACTGTAGTAATGATCCCCACCCCCCATTTCGCACCATTTTAGTCGTCTGTGTTTACAGTTCAGGGATGAAACACAGCTGTCACGCAATGCAAATATCGGCTAGCTTAAATGAGATTGTAAAATATGGCTTCTTCGCAAAATATCAAATCAACGGAGTCGACTGTTCCATTCCTCTTTTCTCTTGTCGCCGCACCTCGCCAACAGCGATGTTACACTTTCCAATACTTACAGCATAATTAGCTCACCTATTTGCTCCAACTGAACCTTCGTCATCGGACCCAACAGGGATGGGAACGAACGAATCGTAAATGGACTGATTGTATAACCGACGAAATCGGAGAGAAATGATAAGTAACAGCCATTCGAAGGCCGAATCAGAAGTGGACGGTCCAAGTGAGGCGGCCGAGGTGGGTTAAAAACTGATAAAAAATTTTTCTTCGGCCGTTGCCAACCATAATTTCTGAAGTAACGGCCAGTCTGAACTGTGGAAAACACGGAACGACCGAAATCCTTAAATTTTAATGGGCCGCTGTTCCTGGCCCTGGTTACTACCCTCTTCCATTCCCTCACGAGGCCTTTGAGGCCCGTATTGCCTTTTACTTTAATGCGGGGTGGAATTATTAAATGGATTATGATGGGAAAGATAGTATGCCTTCAATAAGCGATATGAGCTTTCAGTCGAACTCCCAATGTGGTACAAACCGTGTGATATGTTGAAAAATCATGTAAAGAATCCTTGACCTCTACTTTCAGCTTCGCAATGACCGCCAGGTGATAACATGTAGGATTTCCGGACGATTTTCTAGCAATCCTCTCAAAGAACAACCAAAATCACTCAAACAAATTTACTCTTGAATAGTACACATATCTAAGCTAGCCTATCAGCAACCGTGTTTGAAATGTGTTTACTTCTATCAATTGATAATCAATATTTTCAGTTTGTGGATGTTAATTTGTGAGTGTTAACAGCAGAAAATGAAGTGAAATTTTTGCAACGAAAACTTCAGAAACTTTGAAAACTTCATGTTTGTGCTAAAGATTTCAAATTCAGCTACCGCAAAGGCTTACCATCGCGCGTACAGTCACGTCAAAGTTCGCAGTTGACACTGTGCTAACTCGAAAACTAGCCGAAAAACAGCGGCAAAAAAAAGAACTTCCACGTACCTTCTCATGATTTGCCAGAGTGAATTGGAAGGCATCACGTACTTCTTGTAAATGTTCACTCATCCCAGCAATATGCCTTCCGTAAGCGATATGAGCTTTCAGTCGAACACCCAGTGTTATACCTCTTGTCAAATCGTCCACATTGGGCTGCAATATAATTAAAATTCTACTTCTCCCCTTCAGAATCACTGTAAAATCAGTGCACTAATTCTGTACCGTGTACTTAAACCAAATTACAAAGCATGCATATGTGTTCTTTTTGATAAATAAGTGCATCGGTAACGTATCAGAATTTGAAGAGGAATTCAATTTTCGGGGAATTAAAAAATCACTTCCGGATAATTGGCCAACGCGCGGGTTGCCCATGCGAAGATGCGTTTTTTGCATAGTTCCCCGCAGTTTTTGTCGCTACCGGCACCAGTTTTTCCAGCAAATGTTTCTAGCTAAAGAAATAAAGACTGGCCGCCAGAACTGTCAGGAAACACCCCCTCAAAATTTCAGCCTTCTAGCTTTCCTGGCTCCTGAGTTAGCAACTTACTCGAAAAAAACTTTCACGGACCTGTATGTGGGTACCACGCATACCCGATGTCTGGGTTTGAGAACGTTGAGACTTGCGTGGGTGGGGAACGTCCCTGTAAAATTTCAGCTTTCTAGCTTTACTGATTCCCGAGTTAGCGACTTACTCGCGAAAAACTTTCACGGACCCGTACGTGGGTAACACGCGGATAGGAGCGCCCATTCCGGGTAAGAGCACCCGTACACGCATATAGATTAAGTTCCCCAAGTTTTAGCTCCGTAGTTTTCGTGAGTCTTGAGATGAAAAATCCGCACAGAGGCGCAGCGCACACACAGACACACACACAAAAACACACACAGACAACCTCTCGTCAATATGCGTTTTCTACATTACATAGCTGCAAAAAACGCTTAAAAACAAACTGCAAGAATCTTTATAATAAAAATGACTCTTTTTGAATGAAATAATACTGGGACGAAAGAGGAAGACAGAGGCAGGAAAGGGAGAGAAGAAAGAACCACTTGAAAAGAGGGGATTTTCTAAATTTACTCGATTCATAAATTATGGCGAGAATACGGTAATGCAGTAAAAAATGCGATACGGATTACGGTGGAAAAAAGATTACGGTAAAAATGAACCTTCCATGTGGTGCCGCATTTTCCGAGGTTTTCGCCGGGGACGGAGTGTTCCGATGGCGCTGTTGTTGGGCGTTGTTCATATTTCGACGACAGAGCAAGTCGACCTGAGAATGAGGCATCCAGAAAGCGTTCTACTCTGCAAAAAACAGATGGATGAGAGCTAAAAACCAAACCATTTCTTCTAAGAAACAACCCTGAATATATCCTCATTTCACATTTTTAACTACTTAGATATTCCTAGAACGCAAAAAAGTAGCTAGAGGGATGGAAGGGAGGACAAAAAGCGAATGAAATACAATTTCCTATTTCTTCACCACATTCATTTCGTCTACCACCAAATAAGCCTAATACAAGTGCGGCAGCGTTCAAATTTAATCCGAGAAAACTGAGCACGAGATTAATTCCAC